TTCGTGTATTTGATGTGTGTATGTGACGAAAAAGGTCGTGACGATGTTTTCCTAAGGCTTGAAGTCCTATTTGGAACATTTTCCTCGAATCTTCGCAAAATAGCCCATAACCGCTCGTTCATAAGACGATGGTCTTGTGCCAAAGATGCTAGACATCAAAGGAAAATAGGAATTGGCTGGAATTTCTAGAAAGGTGAGTCCCAATTCTAGTTTTCTAAGATAGTCGATTAGGAATTTCTAGAGCTAGAATCTAGGCTCTAAGGAGGAGAAGACAAGACCTCACAAAAATGAGGTCAACAGGTTGTTTGGCCGTTAACCTAGCCTACTTGTCAAGTACCTCAATTGTGTTACCTCCTCCTTATCAAAAGACTGAAGAAGCTTATATGACTCGTGAGACTAATGATTTCCTTTATTTATTTTGCTGCAATTTTTATGTTGGACCTTGTTTATTTGTTATCGACCATTTCATGAACCAAAGAATCTTAACCAGAAAATTACATTAAAAGAAAATGATTTAAATAAAGTAAAAATTGAGAAATAATGATTGATTCAAGCTTATTTATTTACGGGCTAAATTGTGCCTAGATACCATACCAAATATGTTCATGATGGTGAACAAAAAGTTTCCAAAAAATAAACTGTAAATTATACTAAGAGCTCACCTGGTTTCTTGTAAACGGAAAACATGTTTTAGAGGTGATGTCACTTTGAGTGTGAAAATGAAATCATCATTTTTTTAAGGAGATTTGAGGATGTTTGTGGAGTTAATTTATGTTGTTATCTAAAGATAACTAACAAAATGATGGATTTAACAAACAAGTTGAACTCTGAAGGATGTGTCCGAAATACACAATTGGTTCCCTTTAAACAAATATCCATGATAGGCTGAATAATCTTTAATCTGGTGGGAAGTATTGCATTGTGTCCTAATGGAAGAGAAGTCTCGGTCTTTAGTATACATGTCTTTGAGGATTCATGGCCCAATAATTCAGTTTGTAAAGTGCTAAGAAGGACACCTCTCCCACTAAGAGCATCTGCCACCTGATTTTGAGCACCAGATTTGTGTTTCAACACAAAGATGAACTTCTGGAGGAATAGAACTCCACCGTGCAAGCATGATTCACTTTTTTTTACGAATTGAGGAGTTTTAAGGCTTGATGATCCCTACACAATACAAAATCCTTGTGAAGCAAGTAGTGTTCCCTCTGTTTGAGGGCCCGAACAACTGCATGTGGTTCCTATTTGTAAATATACCACTTTTGTCTAGTGGAGCTGAGTTTTTCGCGAAAAAATGTTGTGGGATGGCCATCTTGAGTGAGTACAACCCCTATTCCAATCATTGATGCATCAGTATCAACTTGGAAAGGTTTATCAAAAGTCTTGAAGAGCCAGTACCAGAGCTGTAGTGACGACATCTTTTATGATTTCAAAACTATGTTGTTGTTCGCTGCTCCGACTAAAATTTTTGGATTTCAAATAATATGTTACGCAGGGGTGGGGGGGGGCAGCATAATGATTCTAAACCCTGCTAACCATGAATAAATCAATGATAAAAGTTTTGTGGAAACTACCAACTTCAAATAGAGGTAGGCGTCAACTATTCTTGAATTACAAAAACTCTTAATTCTTGTTACCATTATAATAAGGCCAAAAAATGGACATTTGAAGCAACAAACTCACATTTTGGAACGTTTAGAAAAAGCTATAAGTTCTTAGAACTTAAAATATTTGGGATAAATTATGTTTTTGATCCTTGAATGAAGAGCTGGAGACAAGTATATCGTTGAAGTAAGCCAAACAAAAGACTCGTAGAAATATTTTTAATACCTCATTCATAAGCCACATGAAGGTACTAGGTGCATTACATAAGTCAAAAGGCATAATCTTCCACTCGTACAATCTTCTCGTGTTTTGAAGGACATTTTTCATTCATCTCCCAGATGAATCTATTTTTAATGATATCCACTCCTTAAGTCCAGTTTGGAAAATATTTGGCTCTGACAAGTATATCTAGCATGTCTTCCAATCTTGGTATTGAAAATCTATGCTTGATAGTAATTTTATTGATGGATCGACTGTCAACACACATTTGCCAACTATCGTCTCTTTTTGGAACTAAGAACGTATGTGATGCACAAGGATTTGAGCTATGTAGGATTAACTCTTTAGCCAATAAGTCATCAATCATACCTTGTAAAAATTGATGTTCTTTTGGGCTTATTCGGTAGTGTGTTAGGTTAGGTAAGAAAGCATTGTGTACAAAGTCAATTTGGTATTGAATCATTCGGAGATGAGGTAGTCCCGTGGGTAATTCATTCGGTCTGATATCTTGAAATTGCTGTCACAGCTGCTGGAGTTTTGGTGGAATGCTCTTTGAAGTTGAGCCTTTATTGGTTCTGCCATCACCATAGCCAAGGAATGGAAGTCTCTTGGAATTCTTATGGAAGTATTGGACCTGAAACTGTTGATAAAGTTTTATTGCTTTTGGAAGGTTTTATAGAATTAGTAGAAGTTGGCAGCAACTTCAACTTCTTTCCCTTCCATTTAAATGAAGAAATATTCATCTAACAATCATAAATCGCTCCCATATCACATTGCCAAGGTCTACCAAGTATAAGATGGTAAACATCAATGTACTTGACATCATAAAGTACTTCGCAAATAAAATGTTTCCTAGTAGACAAATTAATATGATACAGTTCTGAGACAAGTACGTTGATTTCTTTCTTAACCTAACTTATTTTATATTGTTGACGATCTTTTGTAGTTTTAAGTTGTAATGCTTGTATAACATGTCGAGAAATTACATTCTCGGCGCATCCACTATTAATTAGCAAATCACAAAACTTACCGTTAATAGTACATCTAACATGTCGAGAAATTACATTCTCGGCGCATCCACCATTAATTGTTAGAAATATAGCATGCCATTGGGAAGCCATGGACTGTCGAGGCGCTAGAAGCAACTTTTCGATAATGCGTACAAGGGCCTCTCCTTCATCTCCAACATCCTCTTCAATTTCTACTTCACCCACATTTGATGCATTGTCTTGCAGTTCATCATGAACTTCTCCTTCCATGAGCTGAATTTATTGTCGTCTTGGACATTCATTCGATTTATGTCCAGTTTGCAAATGTTGAAAGCATTTTAAATTGAAAGGCTTGGAGTATGGATTTTTTTTCACCTACATTTTACCCTTAATGGAAATCTTCTCGCTTGGCTTTGGAATGGATTTAGGTGTTGATTGGGATTTTGAAGAGAGCTTGACGTAAGTGTTGGATTAACAGTGTGATTATCATATTCATACTGTTCAAAGGCTATTGATGCGGGCGTACCTGCTACAGGACTCCCGAACCGAAATGCAGGGGCTCCTGCGGTGGAAATTTTGGATCGGCAGGCTTCTCCCTTCCTCTGGATTGGACTCCTGACACAAGCAAGCACTTCCTCGAGCTAGTCAACCCAACTTCTCACGGGATTTATCACCTAACTGATGTGGAGGCGAACCCTTTGTTACCTTAGGTCTATATATGTTGTTTTCATCATGTCAAAATAAATTTTTATGTGTATTTCTGTTTAGGACAGCTGTTGGCTTCTAGTGTTTACTTGCTAGGGCTATATCCGAAGGCGAGAAGGTGCTCCGACGATAACTCGTTTGAGGTGGTGATCGTCTCGCAAGGCTTGAATGATTCTCGGACTATAGTTCTATCCCGTAAAGATATTTATCTTTGATTTCTCTTCTTCCACAATCTTTCTTTCACCTTTGCCCTCACATATTTGTTGTTACAACTAGAAAACAGCCCCTCTTGTTTTTCTTGCAGCCTGCAATTCCCTGCCACCTCATTCCCCCTACCCTTACCTTTTCAGCCTTCCTTACAGCCGCCCCAACATGTCGCCGCCCTTAGTGAACTCCCACACAACCACCTAACCTGTCGTCCAACCACCGGACTGTCCTACAACCCCCACTCCTCTTGCTGCCGCCACCTTCCCACCTCTCTTTTGGCTTCCCCTGTTCTGTCCAAGCGCAGATCAACCATCCCCTAGCTACCTCTCGACCCCTCAAACACCACCTTCAAACCTTATCTAGCGGAGTATTTGTGTTTGTGTCTTTGTTTTTTCCATTTTAGTTGATTGTCTATGACTGCCTATTTAAATTTAAGCAACAATATCATAGTTTTATTGTGGTTTGGGTTAACTTCGTTATTAATTCTCTTCATGATGAATACTCTTTATGTTCGTATTGAGCAGCAGTTCGGCTTTGTATGCCAGATTCACTGCTTATGACAATGACCAAACAAAATTCAATTCTAATTTATCTTGAGTGATATCATTAAGGTCATCGATGTATCTGACGACTAATTGACTTTTGGACTCATTTAAATTATTTATGGCATTAAGTGGGTAGAATTCTTCAGTGTATGTGATGATAGATTTGGAGCCTTGGTAATAATGTTGATATTGAGATTATAAGATTTGTTCGTAATGTCCTTGTAGAAGTTGCTTCATCCTAAACCAACTGGGATTTGCTCCTTTGCATTCTTTTTTTTGCAACTGGGATTTGCTCCATATATTCAAAGGAAGTTTCCACCGACTGTTCCCAATCTAGATAATATTCAATGTGCAAGTGACCATCAATGAAGGGAATATCAAGTTTCACATGAACCTCACCATAATTTCTGATGCGAGGTCCAATCTGTCTATAAGTGGAGGTCTCGCCTAGATTTTCTTTGTCTTCTTCAGATTCATATATATTGAAATGCCGCCTCAAATCTGCATCATGCTCTAGTTCATGATTGCTTGTTGATCTAAGAAGTGGCATCTATGAACTTTAGTTCCAGCAATATAATTATGGAATGCCGGTTTGGTTGCCGAGCTTTATATGTTGAGCATTTGAATTTCTCTTCGCATCTCCCTAGAAAAATCAGAAAAATTCAGAGCCAGATCTTCGATTCGCTTCACTAGGTTATCTTGCATTCTCCAATGGGATTCTAGACTATAAGCACTGTGGACAACTGGGTGTTTGCTGCCTTCAGCCATCACTACCCAAGGTAGAGTGCTCTAATACAAATATGGCGTATCACCAGCTCAAGGTAAATAAGGAAAAGAAAAACCGAAGAGTTGCAATAGCAAAAAAAGTTTTCATTTAACTTTTCTTAATCATTATTGCATATATTTATATGCCTTTTTTATGGACCACTAATAATAGAATATGGAAATATCAGAGCAAAACGAGTTTGCATAACAGAAATATAACAACTGTAACCATATATAGTTATATAGACACACACACACAAACACACATACAAGTGGTGGTATATATCCCTATAAAAACCTGAATCAATAAGTTTTGCTCTACTGATTTGCATACTTATCTTATTATCCTTCAAATGTTTGATCGTCGCTTAGGACATGTTTGGGATCAATTTTATTTTTTAAAACATGTTTGTTTAGGGACTGTTTGGGATCACTTTCATTTTATTTATTTATCTTGTTCAACTTTGTTTTGATTTGAGCAAAAACTTATTTGATAAGTTTGCTTAAGCGTTGATTGTTTTTTAAAACACTCAAAAATCCTAAATTTTTTTTTGAGTATTTTCAAAAATATATTTATTTATTTTAGAAATAAAAATAAAAATATATTAATAACATATTAAACAAATATGTTTTTAAAGACAGACAAATACTAATAAAAACCAAAAACAAAATCGAACCCAACCAAGCCTTTGGTATTATTTTTTGCATGATTTTTTTACTCTTAAATATAAATCAACATGGTTTTAAACACTCAAAATAACCATGAGATGTTCCCGAGTGTTTTTGATAACAATCATTACCACCAAATGCACTCTATTTTAAATCAAAACAAGATTAAAATAAAATAAAAATTAGGAAAAAAACATAAGTGATAAAGAAAAGCAAACTCTCAATATCTTAATCAGGTATAACTACCTTTTCACTGTTATTCTTTTTTAATTGTGATTTCCTTTTATGCTTATGAATTTTTGTTTTCGGAAGTTAAGTTAGTGATGTTAACCGGATTTGCTGCAGGTTCTTCTTCTGTGATTCTTAGTCGAAAATTTGTAGAGCACATCATATTGGGTACCGACAACTTACCCAGAGCCCTTCTTATGTACTATACGAACTCACCATCATCTCACAAGAACTACCTCCAGACCGTTCTCTGCAACTCACCAGAATTCAGTAGAACCATTGTCAATGATCATCTCCACTATTTAAGATCAGGCCCACCTTCAAAACAAGATTTAAATCTTCTATTATTGGAAGATTTGAATAACATGACACTTAGTGGTGCTGCCTTTGGTTCAAATTTTTATAGAGATGATCCAGTCCTCGACCAAATCGATAAGAAGGTTCTAAATCGTGGTCCCAGGATGACTGTTCCAGGAGGCTGGTGTTTAGATAGAGGTAATAGTGATCCATGTAGAGTTTGGGGAAACCCTGATGCTCTAATTCCTGGTCCTGGAGCCACAAGGCTTGCAAGGAACGTTGTAAAACTGCTTACTAATGAGAGCTTCCAATCTCGTCGATGTGCATGGGATTAATACAAGGTACAAGGTACTTATTCGTAACCAGTAAAAATTTTGGTATGCTTTTTCTTGTTTTATTACATCTGTTGATCAGTTCATATCATATTTATAACTTTAGCAATCTGCAATTTATTGCTGCTGTGGTCATCATATAATCTTATCCCAGCTTGATTGTCTACAAGAGCTGTTACACTTTTTTGCTTGTCGATTACCATTCTGTTTCAATATGTGGCAACAGAATAATACCAAATCATCAAAAGTTGCCAATACCATGAACATACTTTAATTAAAATGATTGCAGCGATAAACATAAGCTTAACTCTGAAATTTGTAACATCAGACTACAGAAGCATCGGTAAATATACAAGTTGTAAACCTGAAGGAGTAAAGAAAGTAATACATTCAGTTCCTCACTCAAACTTTTTCTCTTTACTGTAGTTTGCTTTCTTTCCTTAGCTTTATTCCATGGTATCCAAGTCATGAAAGCTCGACAGCGTCTCTTGCTTCATTCTATCAAACCTTCATCCTTCCTCTTATCTACCTACCCTTCTTCTCTATCAGACTAACGCAGTGGAATTCACATTGATTCTTAAGAAAGGAGACATCAACAACCCACTTCAACTCATGTTTCGTATATCCAACATCAAGAACATTTTCAGAACCAACTTACTCTAGAAAATTACAACATTTGGTCGAGCGTTGAATGTCCAGCAGGACTATCACCCAATAACTTTCAAACATTAAAACCAAGACAAATGTAATTGCTACAACTAGAACACCCCTAGATTTTGAAAAGTCTTTCTTTATATATTAAATGAGCTTCCATCTAACTATCATGCTTACAAAATGGCCATTATTACCAACATTTAACATAAAAATCTTGATGGCAATTACTCACCACTTTCTGGTAAAAGGATTAATCAGGTGATGAAAACCAGTAGCAAACTCGTCAAAATACAAACGTTGAACTCCTAGACAACTTCTGTATTGCTTTATGAGCCTTGTAATTTATTCTATTAACTTTGATATTAACAGACGTATGTTTTGATGTTCTGATGGTGGTGCTCTAGACGTGCAAGATAACTACTTATATAGACTGAACGTTGCCTAGCTCAATTTGGTCTAGATTTTAATATGGAAGAATCCAAGATAGATTAGGATGAATGATTTGGAGCTCTCGATATAATCTTTTGGTAATACACATTTAGAAGTATCTTAGAGGCCTTTTTTTTTTCTGCGTTGCTTGATTTGCTCAAAATTTAATATGTTTACCTAATTTGCTTTCTAGATTTTTTAATGAAGGATAATAAACATAAATTATATTTCCATAAATTTATCATATTGATTAAATTACTTAATAATATAATGATATTTAATTAGAGTAATTGTAAGTTGTAAATCTATTTTATTTAGATAACAATAAATTTATCATAATTAATTAAATTTTACTAATAATATAATGATATTTTAATGGGTAACTATTGTAGTAAATCTATTTTATTTAGCGTACTTATAAGTTTTAAGATAATTTTCTGATTGTTGATCTCACTTTTTATCAACTTATAATTTAACTCAAATATTTGAAAGAAATTTGAAATAAAGTACACTGAAAGATAAATCAAGTAGAATTAACTTCATTCAGATCGTAAAGTTAGATTGAAAGGCAGCTCGATGAGGGAATGTTTTGAAATTATCTTTTTTATGTTTCAAAATTATCATTTTCTCTACAGGTCATTGTAGTATTTGAATTTTCATTTTGAGCACATTTGGTTCATTATCAATGTATGAATAACATGAAATAAATTTCGGCTGTCAACAGGTCATTGTAGTATTTGAATTTTCATTTTGAGCTACATTTGGTTCATTATCAATGTATGAATGACATGAAATAAATTTCGGCTGTCATTAGATAATTTTGCACATGAAATTTTGCGTAGTGAGCTTTTATGCATGAAAATTCGTCCCACAAAATTTTTAACGGAAGGTTGTTTTGCAAAACAAACTCCGTTCGTGTGTTCGGAGCACCAAACCTTTCAAAGGAATCCCTTGTAATTTTATGGTCTCATCTAGCCTATGATATTTGGACGTTAATTAAGATAATTTGGATGAAAATTACGATTTTGCACTTGAAATGAATTCAAATCAACTCCAAACTTAAAATATAATCCAATTGATGCTGAAAACATCAATTTGACCAATTACAAGTTTGAGTTCCACTTTGGATCTGTTTGACCAATTACAAGTTTGAGTTCTACTTAGGCCAGCCCGAACCCAATGTACCACAAACCTAGCCTGACCTATACTAACCCAACTTGACTTAGACTGACCTTAGCCCAACTTAACTCGACCTGGCTTGACTCTAGCCCAACCTAACCCAACCCTTACCCAACCTAGTTCGAGCCCACGCTAGTCGGACCCTAGCCGAACCTAGCCCGACCTAGCCCGACAAGCCCGCCCTAGCCTAACCCTAGCCCAGCCTAGCTTGAATCTAACCTGACCTAGCCTCACCCTAGCCTAACCCCACCCAAACCCGAGCCTAATCCTAACATATGTTTCACGTGGTCTTTATTTAATGCATGTCATGTTTCATGTATACTTTTTTCAATGTTGTGTATATTTTGTGTAAAAAACAAAATAATTAAAACTAGATGAAGAGATGAACCTCTCATATGTAGGTTCTTTTTGTGAATATTTTAATAGAATTGATCATTTGTAAGCTTATTTAGTTCAAAGTCTTTTAAAATAACTTAAAATTAACTTACAAACTATTTAAATACTTTAAATAACTTCAAACTAATTTGATAATGATTTAAAATAATTCAAAATAATTTAAAACCAATTTAAAACTAATTTAAAATTAAATTACAAAATAATTTAAATTAACTTAAAAATAAAAAAAAAAGTTAATTTAAAATTATTTTAGAAACACTTAAAAACTATTAAAAATAACTTAAGAACAATTTCAAAGTAACTTAAAATATTCCAAGATAACTTACGAATAATAATAATCTTCTTTCAATAATTTAACAATAATTTTAAAAAAATAATTTTAAAAATAATTTTAAAAATAATTTAAAATCTTTAAAAATATTTTAACATAATTTAAACCAAACTCTTTAAATACCTAAACCACACATTATAAACACATAAACTAGGTAACTTGGTCACTCAACGTAAATAACCAAAATTAACTTCAAACACTAAAACTAAATAACCTAAAGATAATTAAACTATTTAAACTAATTAATTTAAAGTAAACTAATTAACTTAAGATAATTTGAATGTTTAAATTAATCAAATTAAGATAACTAAGTCACTTAAATCAAAATAACTTTTAAGAGTTAAACTTCTAAAATAAAATTTTTAAAACAAGAAATCCAAAATCCTTAAAACATTTAAGCTTTAAAAGAAATTGTATCATGTAAGCTTGCGAGTGATGTAAAACTTCAAACATGGAGAATCAAACTTACGGAAAAAACTAAATGGAGGACATCAACCTAGAAAATCAAAATGCAAAACTTTAAACTTAGAAGAGCTTTGATTTTCACCATGGCCGACAATTATGAATCAAAACAAATCAATCACAAATTAAGTATCAAACCCAAAAAAAAAAAATAGTAGCTCTAAATCATGCAAACCAAATCTAGGTAGATCAATCTCGAAACCCTGGTTAACCAAAATAGAAATAAATTCGATTATCACACATACCCTAGATTAGTCCAATTTAGAAGCCTAGGTTAGTTTACTAAGTACCCACAACTAATACTAAGGACTAAACAATCTTACCCTCATAAATTGTGTAGGTGCCTTAGGATGAAGTAACTCATGATTACTAGCAATGCATCACTAACTACTTTCAACTTAGAAACACTCCATTTGTCACTACAATGGTGCTAAGTGGAGATTTCTGATTATAAGAATGGTTTCTAGTTGAATCATACCAATGCACCTGGGACGATGGAAAACCAATGACAGCTTGACCGGGGGCGTAAGTCTCAAATATTAGATTAGTCCACCACCCCATTTTGGCTCCTTATAGAGTTTAGGCTTTTAACCTTTATCTAGAAATTTTTCTTACCCAACTGAATTCCTTAGTTTAGGATTCCTCCCAACTCAAGCAATTTAATATCAATCTACCGAACTTGTTTCCCCCGATTTAGACCGTAAAACTCGACCTTCTCAATCAATCAAACCCATCCAAACCATTTTAAATCCTTTGATTTAATCATGAACTTGACTAAAAACTTATCCAATCAGCATCAATTCTAAAGTCTTTTGGGTAAACCTTTCCCATGGGATGGTCAAATACTTTTTCTGAGACTTTTCATGACACACCATCATTGACTTGTAAGTTCCGTCCTTTTGAGCATAATTTTTTCCAAAATTCTAAGCATAGATACATTCGTCTCATTTGAAATCCCAACTTTATTTGTCTCATTTGAAATCCTAAATTTGAAAGTCTAGCCTTAATATCTGAGTAACATAAGTCAATTTCTTAATCCAGTGTTTTCTCTAAAGGTCTTAGCTTTCGAGATGTAATTAACTATGAGGTTTTGCCCTTATAGGGATACTGGAACCCTAAAATAATATAAACCTTATTTTATACCCATAAGGTAGGGGGAAAATCGTTGGTTCATGCAGACAAATAAATCTTAAGGATTTATATCATTTAGTGATTATATTCATTTTAGGTAATATTTCTTCTCTCGGTATACATTATTCTTTAACTGTCATATCTGATTATTTAGAAATTTTCATGAGATCTTTGGTAGAAAGACAAAAATTAAAAAAAATCCACCACTTATATATACGGGTTTTTATATAAGTTTTAATTTTTTTTTGAAGATTAATCAATATATTTAAAAATTGCTAAAAATATGATAAAACGTATATTTTTGCAAAATCTCGTATCAACCACAGAATTTTGATTTCCTTTTTGTTCCATTGGATTTACTCGACTTTTCTTATATACAATTTCATAAGTTACAGTTACATGGCATACATTTTATTATAATTAAATGTATTATGATTTCTTAAAATATTATAAGACTTTAATAATCCAAGTTGGCTAGCTGTTCTACATTCTTGAAACATTTTTAACTTTTCCATTTGACTAGCCATATTTCTAATATTTTTTTTTTAATATAAAT